ATGAATTCACTATGTCAGAAGACTCCCACCAACAAGAGTCAAGCTGAGTCTAGGAAAGAAGGTCAGATACAGATCTTGTGAGAGCTCTGAGCAGCTGGAGGGATGTTCTTGTGGTCTACCTCAGAGATAGAAGCCAAGGACACTTTTTTTTTTAATTTATGTGGTGTTTGGAGGTATGTGACAATGAGTTCCAGGGTAGGATCTGGTAGAAAATTTACTACATGCAGCTCCACACATGTGAGCAATATTCTCCTTCCTGAACACAGTACCATGCTCAGAGGCATTTGGAAAAGTTGTCTACACTTCCACCAAGAAGGTTCCAAGCAATTCCCTGCATAGTCCATTAGAGCCCTGAGGGGGAGTCCATTTCAAAAGATTCCATTGTAGGAATGTCTGTGTGAGAGACCAGACACCCCTGCAAAACAATAAAAAATTAGCTCCAAGACACAGCAGCCACATCCCTTCACAGTCATTGTGTTGCCCACCTCATAGACTGGGCTCAAGAATGAGACTGGCAGGATTGTGCCCCAGGAATGTGAGGTTTGGTCTGGCTGTTGAACTGTGTTTAGAGTCAAATGCAGTGGACAGAACTGCCCATTTCAAATGGATACTCTGAGACTTATGACAGTGTGAGAGACCAGCTGTGTGTTCTCCAAAGGAAGAAGTGTCCTGGAGCAAAGGGGCAGGGTCTGATGGAAAGCTTATTGCCAATAGCTCCTCCAACCAAGCCCAAGTTCTGCAGGCAGACTGCTTCTGCCATGCTCAGAGACACTAGAAAGAAGCCCCATGGAACCTAGATTCTTGCACACACAAAAAAAACCTAAATTCACTGACTGAAGGACTCCAGAAGTGAGGTCTGTACTATGGCCTGGCCTGCAGAGTCCACAAGGTAGAGGGTTTATCAGGTAGCTCTTGTTAGAAACAGACCACATCTCTGGGTACAAAAACAAATACTGAGCATGACTATACCTATGCAGCTTCCAACTTTCCCTCAGGACACTCTTGGGGCCAAGAAGGAGAGGAGCTGAGCATATACACCATTCCCAGGCTTGGCCTGTTTGGGCTGCAACTGGGAAGAAACAGGTAAATCTAGTTCCTTCCATGAAACCCCCCAAAGCTACTAGATTCTAAAACTAGAATCCCTGGATGGACAAATGCAACAAAATGAAATTAAATCTCTATTCCTCACCATGCACAAAACTCAACTCAAAGTGGATCAAGGACCTAGAGATTTAATTTACCAGAGACTTTCCAGAGTCTCAGTTTACCAGAGACTCAGCATGTAATAGAAGAAAAAGTAGGCCCTAATCTTCATCATGTGGGATTAGACCCCAACTTCCTTAATAAAACTCTTATAATGCAAGAATTAAAAATCAATAAATGGGATGGATTCAATCTAAAATGTTTCTTCTCAGAAAAAGAAACAATCAGTGAGGTGAACAGAGAGCCTACATACTAAGAGCAAATTCTTACCCCTCACATATCAGATAGAGCACTAATCCCTAGAGTTTATTAACAAGCACAAAAAAAAAATAACCCAACCAATAAATAGGCCAAGGACCTGAACAGACACTTCTCAGAAGAGGATATACAATTAATCAACAAATATATGAAAAAATGTTCATCATTTCTAGCAATTAGAGAAATGCAAATCAAAACTATTTTAAGATACCATCTCACTCCAGTTATAATGGCAGCTATTATGCATATAAACAACAATAAGTGTTGGTGAGGATGTGGGAAGAAAGGTACACTCATACATTGCTGGTGGGACTGCAAATTGGTGCAGCCAGTATGAAGATACCTTGGAAATCTGGAAATAGAACCACCATTTGACACAGCTATCCCTCTCTTCAGTCTATACACAAAGGACTTAAAAATGAGCATACTACAGGGACAACAGCCACATCAATGTTTATAGCAGCACAATTTACAATAGCTAAACTGTGGAGCCAACCTAGATTCCCTTCGCTAGATGAATGGATAAAAAAAATGTGGCATATATACACAATGGAAATTTACTCAGCAATAAAAGAGAATAAAATCATGGCATTTGCAAGTAAATGTATGGCATTGGAGAGATAATGCCAAGTGAAGTTAGCTTATCCCCAAAAAACAAATGCCAAATGTTTTCTCTGATATAAGGAGGCTGATTCATAGTGGGGTAGGTAGGGGGAGCATGGGAGGAACAGAGGAACTCTAGATAGGGCAGAGGAGTTGGAGAGAAAAGGAGGGGGCAGGGGGTTAGCAAGGATGATGGAAGGTGATAGACATCATTATCCAAAGTACATGTATAAAAACACAAATTGGTGTCAACATTCTTTATATATAACCAGAGATATGAAAAATTGTGCTGTATATGTGTAATAAGAATTGTAATGCATTCTGCTGTCATTTATTTTTTTAAATGGATACAATAAAAAAATTACTGGATGGAAGTGTGTTCCTTTTAATTACATCAGCAAGGGAAAATCTCAAAGTTTTCTTGTTGTTGTTCTTGGGTTTTGGTCACTTACTGTATATGGGTTTCCCTCAGTATTTGTCCCTCATGTTTTTTTTTTCTAATTTGTGGGATCTTTTTGTTTCTTTTGTTTTTTCTCTTTAGACTCATATCCTAATGAAGTCTCATCCTTTATCATTTTTTTCTTTTCTTTCCATTTTTTCTTCTGTTACCTGCCACCACTTTTTTCTTCTTCTATTTCTTTCACTACATGTTGTTAAATTTACTGTCACTAAATCTTATTTTTTCAGCCAGGTGCATATTGTTATTTCCCACTTCTCCAATTTTATTAATGGAGTCATTATTAGTTGAGATATATTTTGCTTCTATGGTGTTACTGTTACTGGTTATTCTTTCCTCTTAGAGGATTCTGGTGAGTGAACCTAACATTTTAGTCCTGTTCAGTTGGGGCTTTAACACTGAGATATAAGTGTGGCCAGGTCACATGCCAAAGAGATAATTGTTCACTAAAAGGATCCACATATAATAGTAGAATAGAAATGTATCCAACTTTATTCACAGACCTCAGCATAGCAACACAGACAACATGAGGAAACAAGACAATACAATACCTCTAAAATTTCATAATTCCCCAATAACTGAATCCACAGATTCATATCCTAATGCTCAATGAAGAAGTTGGACAAAAATCATCTCATAATATTTGCTTGTTACCTACATGAAAAGTTTTTCTTACTGATTGCTTCTTTTGCTGAGAAGCAGCTTTTTAATTTGAATCCATCCCATTTATTGATTCTTGATTGTGTTTCTTGTGCTATAGGAATCTTGTTAAGGAATTCAGGGCCTGATATGACATGAGGAAAATTTGGGCCTACATTTTCTTCTATTAGGCACAGGGTCTCTGGTCAAATTCCTGGATCCTTGATGCACTTTGAGTTGAGTTTTGTGAATGGTGAGAGATAATGACTTGATTTCATTTTACTGCATATGGATTTTCAGTTTTCCCAGCACCATTTGTTGAAGAGGCTATCTTTTCTCCATTATGTTTTTGGTGCCTTTCTCTAGTATGAGATAACTGTATTTATGTGGGTTTGTCTCTGTGTCCTCTATTATGTATCACTGGTCTACATGTCTATTTTGGTGCCAATACCATGCCATTTTTGCTTTTATTGCTCTGTAGGATAGTTGAATCTCTGGTATTGTGATGCCACCTGCTTCACTCTTCTAAGGATTGCTTTGGCTATTCTGGTCTCTTATTTTTCCAGATGGTTTACACAATTGTATTTTTCTATTTATATGAGGAATATCATGGGGTTTTGATTGAAATTTATTAAATGTGTATAGTGCTTTTGGTAGTATGGTCATTTTGACAATATTAATTCTGCCTAGCCAAAAACAAGGGAGATCTTTCCATCTTCTAAGGTCTTCTTTAATTTAGTTATTTAGCATTCTGTAGTTTTTATTGTAGAGGTCTTTCACCTCTTTTGTTTATTCCCAAGTATTTTGTTTTATTTTATTTTATTTGTTTGAGGCTATTGTAAATGGGGTAGTTTTCCTAGTTTCTCTTTTAGAGGATTTATGACTGAGGTACATAAACACATTTGATTTATGGGTGTTGGTTTTATATCCTTCTACTTTACTGAATTAATTCAGAATGACTTCTAGAAGTTTTCTTGTGAAATATTTTGGATCCTCTAAGTATAGAATCATGTTGTTGGCAAATAGTGATAGTTTGAGTTCTTCTTTTTCTAGCCGTGTTTCTTTAATTCCTTTCTTTCATCTATCTAATTGCTCTGGCTAGAGTTTCAAGGACTACATTAAATGGAAGTGGTAAAAAGGGCAAAAGGGCATTCCATTGGAATTTTGATCAGAATTGCATTAAATATGTATAGTGCTTTTGGTAGTATAGTCATTTTGATAATATTAATTCTGCCTATCCAGGAGCAAGGTAGATCTTTCTATCTTCTATGATCTTCTTTGATTTCTTTCTTTAGGGTTCTGTAGTTTTCATTGTATACATCTTTCACCTCTTTCATTAAGTTGACTCCCAAGTTTCTTATTTTTTTTTTTTGAGGTGATTGTAAATGGGTAGTTTTCCTCATTTCCTTCTCAGAGGATTTGTCACTGATAAACAGAAATGCCTTTGATTTATGGTTGTTGATTTTATATCCTGCTGTTTGTTGAATTCATTTACTAGTTCTAGAAGTTTTCTGGTGGTGCTTTTAGGGTCTTCTAGGTATAGAATCATATCATCAGCAAACAATGCTAATTTAAGTTCTTCTATTTCTATATATATCCCTTTAATTTCTTCTGTCTGTTCTGGCCAGTGTTTCAAGAACTATGTTAAATAAAAGTGGTCAGAGAGGGCATCCCTGTATTGTTCCAGTTTTTAGAGGGAATGCCTTTAATTTTCTCCATTTAGAATGATGTCAGGCTTCTGCGACTCGGCCGGATGCGGTCGCACTCAGGTCCGCGGCCGCCCCGCCCCCGCCGCCGCCACCTGGTAGGTCCGTGGGTCCGCCAGCCAGTCACGGAGCGCGTGGCGCGGGAGCTGCCGGCGATGTCTGCGTCTCCGGGGAAGGAGCGCCGCGCCTGGGGAGGAGGCGGTGGCTGGAGGAGCGCGAGCAGTGGCAACCCTGTCCGGGGCCGCGAGGTTCGCCGGGGCCGCCGGAGGACTGAGCGGCTGTAGCGATGGAGCAGCTTTCAGATGAAGAAATTGACCATGGTGCTGAAGAAGACAGTGACAAGGAAGACCAGGACCTGGACAAAATGTTTGGAGCCTGGCTTGGGGAACTGGACAAACTCACTCAGACTTTGGATTCTGACAAACCCATAGAACCAGTGAAAAGATCTCCTCTTCGCCAGGAAACAAACATGGCCAATTTTTCTTATCGTTTCTCCATATACAACTTGAATGAAGCTCTGAATCAGGGAGAGACTGTTGATCTGGATGCCCTGATGGCCGATCTTTGCTCTATAGAGCAGGAGCTCAGCAGTATTGGTTCAGGAAATAGTAAGTGTCAAGTCACAGAAACAAAAACTACTCAGAAATTACCTGCTAACCGACATACATCAAAACATGGCACCTTGAAAGGATTATCTTCTTCATCTAATAGGATAACTAAACCTTCTCATGCTAACTACTCTCTAGATGACATCACTGCACAATTAGAACAGGCCTCCTTGAGCATGGACGAGGCTGCTCAGCAATCTCTACTAGAAGATACTAAGCCCTTAGTAACTAATCAGCACAGAAGAACCGCATCAGCAGGCACAGTGAGTGATGCTGAAGTTCGCTCTATTAGTAACTCCTCACGTTCTAGCATCACGTCTGCAGCCTCCAGCATGGATTCTTTGGATATTGATAAAGTGACACGCCCTCAAGAACTGGATTTGACATCTCAGGGGCAGCCAATTACTGAGGTAAATGGATGGAACTTTTTTCTTCCTGGAATCTTAGAGTTAAATAAAGGGGAAATTATTTTTTAAAAAATTAAGTTTAAACTCTCTTAATGCTTCTACATTTAAAACTTGTCAGTGATGGCTGTGTCACAAAGATGACTGAAAACATTTAATTTCTTCTTTTTCATTCTTTGACTTTTTGAAGTCCTTGAATTTATATCAGTTATTTCATGTAATTAAAAAATATTGAAATGTGATTTCCAAAGCCACTAATATTTACTAAGTTGATAATTGCTTTTCAACATATGTATTTAAATGAGGACATAAGAAAAACATTCATCCCGATTGTAGTTCTCTAAGATTTTAGTTTTCATGGTTTACCCCATTTTATTATCAAAGAGTCAGTGTGATGTAGTGGATTTACGATAAGTTTAACAAAAGCCGAGTTTGGTGAAAGAGAATTCATTATTTTGAGTTCTTTTTATCAAGAAGATCACAGTTCTGTTACAGAGTAACAAAAAGCAAGAAGGAAATCAACAGGTTAAATCTTGTAAAATATTGTTTAAGGAATTATAGAAAAATTTAAAATTTATGCTTATTATGTGACATTATTGATTTTTTTCTCCCTAGCTGATTTTATTAGATTAATTTACATAAGTGAGTAACTCCTAGTATATTTGTTCATGGGCCTAGCTTTTTTCTAGTACTGTAGAGCACAAAAGAAACATGAATCATGGCGGTTTAGAGGTAAACTTGAGTTTTCTTGCTGAGAAAGTTAGGAAATCATATCAATCTAAAGAATATGCTTTCATTTATTTAAAATGAAACTTTACATGGTATATTAATTACCTATAGAGAACTTGAAAACTGGTTTCTGCTTTATAATATTCAAAAATTATAATTAGCACCAGTTACTTGTCATTTTCTTGTTTTTTAGATACATCTACTGAGATTTAAGCAATATTTTATTGCAGATATGTTTTCTTTATTACTCTTTATCTTGTATGTTGAATTGGGTCAAGATGCATGAGGACAGATTATAAACTAATTATTAAGGATATTCTAACGTGTGTTTATCTTTCTGTCTGTAAAATACACTCAAAAAAGTTCAAACTATGTAAGGACAAAAGAAGTAAAAAGTGAAAAATCCCTCTCTCCCAGCAAACATACTTCAAATGATATCTAGTGATATCCATGGGCAAGGACACTAGCATTCAATGGTGTAATGTTTAATGTAATACTTTTAATAAGGTTTGGTGAATAAAGCAGGCAAAGAACTTAAAAGTCTCATCTGGTCTGTTCTTTTGCCTCACCCAGAGGGGATAGAAAAGTGGTTTAACAAGCCTGGAACTTGATTTAATGTGGTTTTTTGGGGGGAGGTCTGCTCTGTTCTGATTCAAATCAAGTAAATTGGGACAGCTCTATAGATCCCAAACCCATGTATCTAGTTATCCTCAAAAGCAAATACTATTTTTATTTTTTATTTTTTGCAAATACATTTTTTTAAAAAAAATTTAATTGGTTTTCCATGCATAGAGTTAAATAGTTCTATAAGAACATTTTAAAGTCAAATAGCTCTTTGAGGTTTGTTACAAAAAACTTGTTATACTAACACATCATATTCTATTCCCAGAGATAAGCACTTTCCTACTATTTTAACTAGTTCTTACAGTATTTAACTTCTTACCATTAAATCCACACTTACGTCACTATTTCCTGACTTTTCCCATTGTGTGTATTGTCTGCTGACTTCTTGCTCTGGAAAATGAGAATATAGCTGTCTTTAGACAACTCCCTGTACTTCTGTTCCTCCATTCTCGCAGTATATTTTGATAGGGTTACTATTCAGTGTTTTTGTTATGATTATGTATTTGCAATTTGCTTTTAAACTGTAATCTCTTACATCTCCTTTTTGAAACCTCATTTTGCTTTCCCTAAAATTCATAATTATCTTTAGATTTATAAAATAATTAAATTTTTGTGTGTTTATCACTGTTGTAATTCTAAATTTTATCCCTGTTGATTAAATCTCTCACTTGCATCAAAAAAAAAAAAAAAAAGAATGATGTCAGCCTGAGGTTAAGTGTAGATAGTCTTTACAATGTTGAGCTATGTTCCTGTTGTCCCTAGTTTTGCTAGAGTTTTGAAAATGAAAGGGTGCTGTATTTTGTGAAATGCTTTTTCTGCATCTATTGAGATGATCATATGACTTGAGTCTATTCCATATGTTGAACCAACCTTGTATCCCTGGGATGAATCTCACCTGATCATGGTGTACAATCTCTTTTTTTTTTTTTTATTGGTTGTTCAAAACATTACACAGCTCATTACAATCTTTTTAATATATTTTTGGGTATTTGATTTGCCAGAATTGTACTGAGAATTTTTACAACTATGTCCATTAGAGATATAGATCTGAAGTTTTCATTTCATGGAATAATTTGAGATGGATTGGTATTAGTTCTTCTTTCAAAGTCTTGTAGAACTCAGCTCTGAACCCATCTGGTTCTGGCCTTTTCTTTGTTGGTAGGCTTTTGATTGTGTTTCCTATTTTATTGCTTGAAATTAATGTTTTTAACTTGTGTATATCATCCTGATTCAGTTTGGATAAATTGTATGACTCTAGAAAATTGTCGATGGCTTCAATAATTTATATTTTATTGGAGTACAAATTTTCAAAATAATTTCTAATTATCTTCTGTATTTCTATAGTATCCATCATTATATTTTCTTTTTCATCATGGATTTTAATAATTTGGGCATTCTTTCTCCTCATTAGCAGGGTAAAAAATTATCAATTTTATTTATGTTTTCAAAGAAACAACTTTTTGTTATGTCATTTTTTTTTTCAATTTCATTGACCTCAGCTCTAATTTTAATTATTTCCTGTCTTCTATTACTTTTGGTGTTGACTTGTTCTTCTTTTTCTAGGGCTTTGAGATGGAAGGTTAGGTCATTTTTGGTTGACTTTTTCTTCTTTTAGGAAATGAACTCCATGCAATGAACTTTCCTGTTAGTACTGCCTTCATAGTGTTCCAGAGATTTTTATGTATTGTATCAGTGTTTTAATTACCTCTAAGAATTTTTTTTTTCATATCCTCTTTGATGTCTTCTGCAATCCATTGTTCCTTCAATAGCATATTATTTAGCCTCCAGTTGTTGGAGTAGCTTCTATTCTTTATTTTACCATTGATTTCTAATTTCATTCCATTATTATCTGATAGAATGCAGGGTAGTATCTCTACTTTTTTGTATTTGCTAAGAGTTACTTTGTGGCTTAATATATGGTCTATTTTAGAGACAGATCCATGTGCTGCTGAGAAGATAGTGTATTTCATTGTTCATGGATAAAATATTTTATATATGTCTGTTAAGTCTAAGTTATTGATTGTTCTATAGATTGAATTCTATTGATTCTTTGTTTAGCTTTTGTTTGGAAGAGCTATCCAGTGGTGAAAGAGATGTGTTAAAGTCACCCAGTATTATTGTGTTGTGGTCTACTTGACTCTTGAAATTAAGAAAAGTTTGTTTGATGAACAGAGATGCTCCATTGTTTGGGGCACATTCATTCATAATTGTTATGTCATTTTGATGTACGGTTCCCATAAGCAGTATGAGATATCTTTCTTTATCCCTTATGATTAACTTTGGCTTAATGTCTACTGTATTTAATATAAATATGGAGACCCCCGCTTCCTAACACAGTCCATATCAGTCATATGTTTTTTCCCCCACCTTTCACATTTAGTCTATGAATGTCGTTTCCTATGAGATGAGTCTCTTGAAGATAGCATATTGTTGGGTCTCTTTTTAAAATTCAATCTGCTGGTCTATATGTTTTGAATAATGAGTTTATATATTAACATTCAGGGTTATTATTGAGACATGACTTGATTCCCAGTGATTTTTAGTTTGGTTTTTAACTTGAATTAGTTTCTCCTTTGATTAATTTTTCCTTTAGTATAATACCTCTCTTTGGTGTTTTTCATGTCCTCCTCATGGAATATTTTGCCAAGAATGTATGGTAGTGCAGAATTTCTAGTTGCAAAATCTTTTAACCTTTGTTTATGATGGAATGTTTTTTATTTCATAACAAAAATTATGACACACCATTTTCTCTAAAAAAATCCATATTCTTTGTCCCTCCCCTACCTAGTTCCCAAGCAGAATTATGATTAAAATAAGCCAGCAGGCAATGCCTCTCTCCTCCCCTTGCATACTAAGGAGCAAAGAAGCAAGTGGATGGTCACCTTGCATGGAATAATATACAAGAAGTCAGGTTTATTTCTGAATTATTCAGAAAGTACAAATGTATTCAAATCCTTGCAGTTATGAGTGTAAACAGATATTAACATTTGCAGACCTTCCATAAAGAAGATACAACACTGAGTGATCTGTCCATCCAACCAGGTCACTGTTTCCTAAACATCTACTGAACATCTATGTCCCTTCCTTTCTGACCTTTCCCTGTCTGTTTAAACTATACTATAAATTCTGTTTCCCTAAAAGCAGCAATGATTGGCCTTTTCCAATAAAATTCTTTACTAGTAATGCCAATAAGCATACTTAGGACTCCTCATACAATGCTTTCTAGGAATTATAAATTGAGGAGCAGGGAAGAAGCAGCCAAGAGGTGGAAGCTACCAAATTCCTAGTTCTGAAAAGCAATGAGTGGGAGGAGAGATGTCCCACATAAAAAAAGCGCATCATACACACATATAAAAAGCTGGTCTAATCAAGCACATGTATTAATTCTAACATCAATTTATATAAGTGTGTATTCACAAAAACATACATACAAACAAAAAGCAGAACAATGATGTCATATATTTTCTTTCTAAAACATTCGTATTAAAAGCAAAGTTAAAATAAAGTCACACAAATTTAACTTCTGTCCATGAAGGAATATCTGAATCTAACTTTCTAACCCATATAACTAAAAGAAAATATAATGTGTAAATCTAATTCATGAGGACACTAGAGGGTAAATAACATAGCCAGGACTTTGGAGATACAAGATA